CAAGTTCAGTCCTATACTATGTGATTCAATCATTATCACAAGGTTTGGATGGGGTTTGCGGTGTTTTTTTTTTTAGGTTTGTGGGGTTTGGCAATACCCTTTTTATCAATACATTATGGTATCAATAATTGCGTGGTTAGGTCTAGCCTAGCCTACATTTGTTTGATTAATGAGATGAATCAGCATATATTAAATCAACTTGCGTCTATGCAAAACCTGTTTTGTAAATAAAGATGTTATCTGTTTTATTCTGTTTTAAAAACCTGTTTTTTTTAAATAAAGATGTTATATGTTTTATTCTGTTTTAATAAATAAATAAGTTTATTTTCTATTTTATCCACATGTTTTCAATGATAGTATGGTTGATAAATAATATATAAAATAATAATAATAATAATGATAATAATAATAATGAAGGTGCTCGCATAATTCTTTAATAAAGAATTAATAATACTTCAATAATACTTCAATAGGCCTATTTGCGATAGTGTGATTAATGAGATATTCGTTGATCAATAATATAGAAATATATAATAGGTATACCATTAATAATGATTCAGCATATTAAATCAACTTACGTCTATGTAAAATCTGGTTTTTTTTCCAATAAAATGTTACCCATTTTATTCTGTTCAATAAAACAATCTTATAAATTACATTATAAAGTGTCATTGTAAATTCTGTGAGAATTTAATCCACATAATTTATGTTTTCAATTATTTAAACATTTAAACAATTCAGTGGGCCTAACGCTGGATGTAAATGTAAAACAAAACAAAACAAAAAAGAAAAACAAAAGCATCGCTAAAGTGTTTTCGTGTATGCAAATGCTAATAATATCGCGCGATTACCGAGTGTTTTTGGAAAGCAAAGCTCAGGATGGTTCGTACGAGGTGACAAATATTCGTCGAAATGCCGTATAAATAAACTGCAATTATGTAAAATAACTTTCACAAGAAATTTACGAATATCTTAAGTAATATTTATAATCTTAATTAATATCTTAAATTATTTAATTACTAATTAATAGATTGATATAAACATTGTGACCTATAACTACAACTTATTAATATATTTTAATTAATAAATACAAGAATCCTGCAACAAATTTTTCAGGTCAAAAATTGGCATCAAAAAGTAGTAATTTTTCAATCGCGATCTTCGTATTTGTTGGTTCATGGAAATAGCGACGATACACATATAATTATTAGTTTATAGTTTTTATTATAGTTACAATATATATAATTATTATTATTATAATATATACATATACTATTATTATAATTTTATTATGTATATATATATATGTATATATATAGTTTAATAGACAAACAGGATAAACTCAGAAACAACAAACATGTCGCATAATGTAAATAATAATACAATAGGTAGTTTTCGTCGCACAACGTTAACCTTAACTTTAACGTTAGTACCCAAAATGCAGCGCGATAGCTCTGCCCCTTCTGTAAACAAATCGAAATACGCATGCGCAAACCCATAACTAACGTACGTCGAGCACATACAATCCTGAAATTAACATACTCCGCAACGCAAGATGAATAAATTATGACGTCATCCGTTAACGTTAA